GAACAGCACGGGCATCCATGCACATTGCTGTCACTCTGCATGTGCTTCTAAATGTGTGGTTCACGTGATAGGGTCTCTTTGATTTTTTGAAATTAACTTTACCTCACCTCAGAAGAAGTAATGGAGAGGGTTTCATCTATGAAAAGTGAAAAAATATTATCTATATTTCAGACCTTATGGTCATTCTGTAATTAACGAGTGCAAGAGCAAATGAATAGTTTCTGAACTAAGGCTTTTACTATAAAGAGCTTTTTCCCTCAGTGAACCCTTTCTATCTTAACGCTTTCCAGATGCCTGTGAGTCCTGATATGCTGTCAGATTTCCAGGTGTGGGAATTAGTTTGCATAATAAAGGACTTCAAGGTCAGTTTCTATACACTGTGCCATTAAAGAATCATATTTGCCGTACAATCTTGAGTTTAATATTTAGCTCCCCTTAACATTTTTTTTTCCCTGTACTTGAATATGAAGTCAAAATTGGGCCCGAAGTGGCCCTGAAGCTGTTAATTTCCTCAAAGCTGTTGGGTCCCCAGGCCCTGACTGGGTTTCACTCAGGTTTTCCCTTATCTTCTCATCTGGCTCACCAGCTTCACACTGTATTCTGAGTCAGAAGGGTGAGAACCTAACGTGAAACCACACAAGTCTTTTATGGCTCTGATAGCATCATATTATTCTTTCTCTTAGTCACATTCAGCTCTTCCTGGTAATTGTATTTTTAATGCCTTCCTCTGCCATTACACTTACTCATTACATGTTAACATGAATAACGTATTTTTATGAAAACAACTGTCTTCCCCAAAATAACGTGGTAAAGTGATGTTCTTTAAAGTTTTCTCAGTATTTTTAATATGTGACTTTATAGGAAGCTCTCAACATTTGTAGTTCTATATTGAGTCTGGTCAAATTCATTTTTCTATTTAGATAGATGACAAGGGTCTAGTCTCACACAGCTGTATAGTAGAAAATGGACAGAAAATTTGAATAGCTTTTCCAGATGACAGTGGATGTTGTGTTGTTGATACTATGCCAAAAATGTTACAGTTGGTCATACCTCAAAGAGTAATTGCAGTTTGCATTCTGAAAGCATATAGTGAACATTTTGTTCTCTAACTGTGAATAACATTTGTCTGTATCAACACTTTGGTTGGTCCTTGTACCTCTTGGAGTATAATTGTTTAAAAGTTGTGAAATGTAATGTCTTTAAACTTTTTTTCTATTCAGAAAATTCCCCAGATACCTTGGGGAGAGAAAGCTGCATTTCTGGTTATCATTCATTCAGATGACCAGGGTATGAAAGGAGGAATCTGAGATGTGCACACTCAGTATCCCACAATGAGTCACTCAGTTTGGTACTGTCTCCGTCTAATAAGGGTGCCTTACACAATCTCAGCACATTGAGCTTATTCAGCCTTTGTCTTATGTATTTAATTTCTCTTTAAAAACAAAATCATACTGAACCATCAGGCATATTTTAATGGTCTTTTTTTCCCTTCTCGTTGATGTGATACATTCACAAAATGAAATTGGGTTAGCATCAGTGCCAGGTTGTTTGAAAAATACAAAGGTTATTAACTTCTTAGCCGCAGGGCATGAGATAATTGAATGAAGGAGGTTAGAAAAAGATCCTTCTCTTCTACAATGTGGCATAACACTCCACAATCAGCTAGGAGCATTAATATTAATTTAAACAAGTTTTATATATAAACAGCAGTAAAATATTATGTGATTTAAAATACAACCACAGTCATTAGCAGTGTTGCATTCAGATCTGTTGTCTTGTGCTTGTGATATTAATCCTGTGAGATTAGTCTGTCAGATACTGTCTTCTCATATGCTAGACTGTAGCCAGAGAGCTTGAGCACAGTAAATATGCTCAGAGATAAAAGACTGGGAAAAACAAGCCATCATGTTGACAGTAGTTACCTTTGGGTAGTGAGAATACAGCTGACTTTTGGTTTTTTGTCCTTTGCAAACATTAATCATAAAAATTTTTATTGAATGTGTTTCAAGCCTGGTATTGAGTCTGGGGTTTAGAAGAGAGAAAAAGGTCCTTGCCTACCTGGATCCTCCAAAAGGTCTGTTCTCATATTTCCCAAAAGTGTGAAATATCTCTGTAACATGAAAAATATAATAGATATTATAAACCAGAAGGAATTGAAAAAAATGACTGGCCTTTTGTTGTTTTTCCAATGCGTACAATTTGGAGACTGCTTCATGGCTTAGGTACCTTAAATATTACCCAGGAAATTTCTTCATTGAGCCTTTCTGCAAGTGAATTGAAGCTTTAATGTTGGAAAGAGAACACATAGCAGCCATTTTCTGGAGCTGTGTTTCCAGTGGTGTTTGAGTTGTAATAATTCTTCGTCTGTAGGATCCAAACCACAACCAGAACCCATGAAAGGGCTGTGTACCTGGATGGATCCTCTATTCTTGCTGCTAGCTAAGGTCTGTGGCTCACCAGGAAGTAGATCAAGGCAGATGACAGTAGAGTTTGGAAATAAGCTTGTATCCAAGGCCTAAGTAATGAGGATCTTGGAAAACACACATCTGTTGACAGCTCATATGGAACCATCTGGAAATAAATTTAAAAGTTAATGATGAAAGGAAACTGTTTTCCAAAATGACTTTTATTTTTCCTTTGTGGATATTTCTTAGCTACTAAAAGGTAACAGAATTATTATAGATTAGGGTTTATGTTTGATTTTGAATAGGAAATGAGAAAGAAGGGTAATACCATGAGCATGGCTTTGAATGAATCATTGGTACAGCTGATCTCTTTCTATTTTTATAAATATATACTTCTCAAGATTTGTTTCAGAAATTTGTGCCTTTGTAGGAAGTGTTGGTACTTTCAGTATGGTCAAGTGTGAGGTACTGTATTTGTGAGTCAAAAATATGACTATTTACAAAGCAGCCAGTTATAAATTGGCCAACAGCATAAAATAAAGGATCTAGAAACCACCACTAACTGTTTTGTAAAGATTTTTTCTTTTTTTTATCAGTACCAGGGATCGAACTCACGACCACGCGCTTGCAAGGCAGGTGGTTATGCTACTGAGCTAAACCCCCAGCCCCCTGTTTTGTAAGGATTTTATATAAAAATTTGATTTCTTGAGTCAGAATCCCTTGAAGTTTTTTTTGCTCAAGAACTGACAGAGCTTAGTGTAAACTAAAAATCAAGTGGAGACTGAGAAGGTGCTGATAGGCCTAGGCCGTGTGTTGAATTGATGGCTAGAACAATTAAATGAGGTGACATAAACATTCATTAATTTAAATTAAAAGAGGCTGATGGAATAGTGATCAGAATCTTTAGAATCTTGACTGTATAGATTAAACGTGGTCAGAACAATGAGAGGCCACTTGAAGGCTAAGAGAGATTTTGAAGACACTTAAGTAGTGATAGAACTGTGGGGGCAGGCAGCGGCTGAAAAGATAAGAAGTATGAAATATAAATGACCTTTATTTTGAGAATGCGGGAAGAGACACCCCGGGTCCCCTGGGGTGGGGCATATCTCTGCCCCACACTTGGCGATCTCTCCGTGGAACACGTGGAGTGAAGGCATATAAGTAGCCTAGGTTTGGGGTGGAACCTAAGGGGCATTAGGGATGCACAGGTAGCCCATTGGTATTCTTTTGGCACCATAGGTAAATTCCTAGGGGTGGGGGAGATGGAGCTCCTTGGTTCTGCCTGAGGCTTTACCGGCTACAGTGTCCTGTCTGGGCCAAAACTCTTTCAAGTAGAAATACTTTTCCACCAAGTAGTAAAACTGCAGAACCGAGTATCTCATTAGGGATGGCAGAACATACAAGGGACGTGACTAAAAGGCTGGTTGTGATTTCTTGGCAAGAAGTAAGGTGATAAGAACTGTGAGAATGTACATCTTTTGGTGATGTTGATTACCTGATGGTTCATTACCTAGAAAAGAGGGTGTGGAGAAGAGGAATTAAGAGAAGAGAGTAAGGTAAGAAAAGGAAACATCTGTGTGTCTGTGTTCATAAACACGCCTATGATGCTGCCTACCAAAATGTAAATGATGGTGACTTTAAAATAATGAAATTTTAGCTGTTTCCTTTTTTATATGGTTACTGTGTTGTATGAACTTTTTATAAAGAGCTTACATATTTATAAATCATTTGCATACTTGCATTAAAAATAAATGGAAAATATAAAATGGCAATCAAGTTAGAAGTTTTCTGGATTTTGTAGCTCTGTAACAGATATGGAGATAAAACACTGAAATGTTTTGCACAGCTGTTTAGGGAGGGCAGCCTGCCATGCCAATCGTCCCATGCCAAAGCTAGGATAGCTTTCCTTGTGGACCTCTATTTGGCCTCAAGGTGCTTCTTTGTGCTGTTTCATATATAGCTCAGAAATACACTGCCAGATAAGGTGACTCAATTTGTGCTCTACTCAAGAAGCATGGCCTCTTGCCCTATACTTGCCTTCTCTGCAAACTTCTCTTCCCAGCAACCAGACTTTAAAAATCTAAAATCTTGTCCTAAAAGTCATCCAGTGGTTTGTTATCTCATTAAAACAGACAAACAAAAACCCCTGGAATTCTCACGGTGATCTGCGGGTAGTATCTCATATCTACTTCCAAGTGCCGGGTCTGTCGGCTTCCCGCTTCACAGGTGTCTGCCTAGCTTATTCCTTAAGACTTGTGGTCTCTGCAAATGTTTCAGCACCCAGTGGGTGGTCCCTGACTTTGGTTTCTAAAATATCCATCACTTCTCTTCCTCTTCACTTTGTTTCCTTATACCCAGTTTCAGTGTTGTTTGCTCTTATTCCACCTGACATATTGTATTTATTTGTGTATTTTATGGCTAGTGACCACTACCAAAATGTCATCTCCACAAGAAATCACCAAGAGGTAGCCTTTTCTCTTTCAACCTGGCCACTGCGGAGCCCTCTAGGATGACCCCTGACGCAGCGCAGGCACCATCAATGCACACCTCCTGTCTCACGTCTCCATTTCGTGTTCTGACATTTCTGCCTTACAGAGAAGTTGTTACATTCAACCATTTCCTGGAAGCAGCAGCTGAGAAAGAGGTTCAAGGTAAAGCTCGGCTCCAGGACTTCATCGAGAATCTGTTGCAGCGGGTAGAACTGGCAGAAAAGCAGCTCGAGTACTATCAAAGCCAGCAGGCCTCTGGCTTCAGCCGTGACATCAGTGAGCATGTGGTGAGTCCCACCCGTCCAGCCTCGGAGCACATGGATGGGGAGGAGGGGTCAGGTGCAGTGGAGATGGAGCCGGGTGGCTGACAGGGGCTCTGTGGTCATCGTGGGAAAGCTCTGCCTAGTGCACAGGAGATGCCCAGGCTCCTGGAAGGAAGCTAAGCCCTGGGTGCCCTTTCCAGTTCCTCACTCTCCTCCACCATGCCATGCAAAGTTAGTAGAAGTATTTTTATGTTTGTAAAATGATGGAGTTTTAAGTGACCAAAGAAGTTATTTAATTCTAGCATTTGGGTAAATTAGAAGTTACTGTGTGTGTGTGTGTGTGTGTGTGTGTGTGTGTGTTTTAAAAGAGTCTTGTGTTCAAACACTTTGGCCCTTCTCAGTAAAACAAGATCCATCCAAATAGTTTATTTTTCCTGAATAGTGCCTGTTGATGCTGTTCAACAGTGTCAATAGTTGAAATGGTTTTTAAGTAGAAATTCAAAAAGACAATCACAGATGAGAGGTATGTAGTAGAATGTTGTAGACCATTTTACATACAAAGTGAAGTGCTTTCAGAAAACCCCAGAGCCAGCCTGGATGTGATGGCACATGCCTATAATCCCAGCAGTCTGGGAGACTGAGGAGTAGGATCTCAAGTAGAGCCCAGTCTGGGTAACTTAGTGAGACCTTGTCTCAAAATAAAAAATAAAATCAGCTAGGGGTGTAAATCAGGGTAAAGGCCAATCCTCAGTACGAAGAAAAGTGTGAAGCAGAGCCCAGAGGAGAACTTTGGATGTGGATAAAGATCCAGGTTCTGATAAGTGGCTTGACTGAGACTTCTTGGTTTCTTGGGAGAGTAGGGGCAGACACAGAGGCCAGTGCTGTAGGTAAGGGGGCTGCAGGATCAATCTAGGTGCCTGACTATCTGTCTATACCTTAGAACACGTTGTAGCACATCATGTTCACATTCCTAGTGGGGAGTTAGTATAGTACATGTTATGTTATGTTATGTTATTTGCATGTCCTAATTGCCTTTTAGGAATGTAGACATTGTAAACATGCACTAAAGAAAAAAAAAGAATCAAGAGATGGATGGAGCAGACAGAGAGAAGGGAAAGGAAATGGAAAAAAAAAGGAATTAAGATATATTATATGTTGTCATATTTAATCTCTATATTTCCTTGGTGTGATAAAAACAACAAAGAAAGGATTTTTAATACCTCAAAGTGGTTTTCTAAATGTTTTCATTATTGAACTGTTTTTAAGGCTTATCTCCTTCCCAGAACATTAAAACATCATTCTTTTCCCCTCAGGTGGACTATATTAAAAGGAAAAGAAAAATAGAAAACATTATACTAACCAAAAGATTAGCAAGGCTGGTTGACCAATAAAGATCAGTTTGAACTTTTGGAAGTCAAGATTAAAAGCACACATGATTATATTATATTAAACAAATCCAGGAGGAGTAAGGTGGCAGACAGTGTGGATAAAACAAGGAATGGCCGGTTGAAAATAGAAAGGAAAGGAGAGAGGGAAAGAAGAAAGGAAAGGGGAAAGAAAGAGCATTACTGTGAGACGAGTCTCAGAAATTTCTAGAACAATAGTAGATTGGCAGAAGTAAATTTGTTACATCTGTCAGGCTTCAGCACGGGGTCCAAAGCAGCTCATCTGTAGGACAAATCTTATTTTCTGAGTGGGTGCCTGCAGCCTTCTCCATGTAGTGTTTCTTAGGGGAAACCATCACTGCCCAATTTAATCTCTTTTTTCCCCTACTGTGTCCGATCTTCACTAGTTGTAGCTGGAGGGACACGGCCATCTCCTGCTTTTTTCTTTCATCTTTTCTTCCTCAAGAGACAGCTGTGGCATGAGGTCCCCAAGTCCAGATGTGAAGTAAAAGTCCTGGTTTCTGGAACATTCTTATCTTGATTCTGACTGGACAAGATAATTTATATTCCAGAGTCTTATGATTCCTCTGGAAAGTGATGGGATTGAATTCAGTGCTAATTTCTGATCATCCTGACTTTGATGGTTGAGAGCTTTTTCTTTTAAGTATTAGAGGAACTGGGCATGGTGGTAGACATGTATAATCCCAACACTCAGGAGGCTGAGACAAGAGGATCTCCATGAGTGCAAGGCCAGCCTGGGCTACATAGTGAATTCAAGGCTACTCTAAACTACGCAGTGAGACCCTGTCTCAAAAAACAAAATTATGTACTGGAGGTTAAGCCCAGTAGTGCTTTACCACTGAGCTACTTTCCCAACCTTCTTCATTTTTTATTTGACTCGAACTATAACCCTTAATATAACATTAATGTTTTTGTATGTAGGCTAATAAGTCATCCAAAGAAATGTGTGAAATCCTTCTTTGCTAAACCAAGAACAATCTTAAAGACAGAAAAGAGTGGCGGGGAAGGAGGAAGTAAAGAAGCCGTTAGTTTTTTCTTTTTATATATTTATTTGCTTATTTCCTCTGCTCAATTTATTTTTGAAGTGTGAATGCCTTTTGAGAGATAGAGCGAGGCATTTCTCATTAGACTATCGTCATCAAAAGTTAAGTGGCATTTTAGCTCTTTGTCAGATATACATGTATATGTACACAAAATTTTAAGTGTACACAACATGCATGTATGTATACATAAATAAAGCCATATATACATGAATATATTTATATAACATTCATGTAAATACATTTAAATATGGTGAGGAATGAGTGCATATTAATAAACAATACTTCCTGTCTCAAACAAGAGTTGATCTGCCTTCAGCTGACTCACTCAGCTCTAAGAGTTGAATAACCCAAATAAATGAAGTATAGTTAAGATCATCTTGAGGAACTGAGAAACTGGGTGTGAATGGGGTGTGAACAAGATGCTGTCTAACTTGGATGGAAGAAATGCAGCCAAGAATTCAGTGTGCATTCTGAAAGGCTTGGGTGACTTAAGTTCCTCCGTTTCCGTGTATGAAGTGTGATCAACAAATGCAGTGACTGTTCAATTAAAAAATATTATAGTAAAAGACTGTGTGAAGGCTAGTAGGTATTAACTCTCCTCTGAACACACCCTCTTTCCCTGAACAGTTTTCCCATTATTCTTAATATTCTCCGAAAAAGTTTTCATAGTCCTTTTTCATGAATATATTTATGTTATGGCTGCTTCATCGTCCTGCATCGATTCAAAATGGCTACTTTTGATGCTCATTTTCACTTTGGGGATGAGCCAAAAGTCCCACAGTGCCAGTTCCAGTGAATAAGATGCACAGGGCACACCATGGTGTTTTTATGAGCCTGCCTTTCTGTTAGATTATACTTGGCATTCACAGATTTTTCTTTTTTGTTACATTTTTTAAGGACATCATGGCAAAGGGTTTCTAGAACTGCTTCAGAAAGTGGTGAGAGTGCTTGGATAAGTTTGAAGGGAGGAGGGATATTTTTAGGATTAGTGGCCATGTATGTTTGACTATAATAAATTTCTAATTAAACACTTACCTTACATTTTGATCATACCACCTGTAGTGCTCTGTGTCCTGTGTTGGACCATAGTATGCCACATATGGCAAAGTCTGCACATGCTTTTTAACGGAGAAAGCGCTAAATCATGTGTTTGGGAAACATATTTGGCTCAACTTAGTAAAGGTGTAGCAATGCCAGAAAACGAGACTCCTTGTCCCAGGTGCTGCAGACTGAGCATACATTCTGCCCTCTTTCCTTTCCCTGGTCCCTGCTCACACCTGTGAGCTCCCTCCTGCAAAGGAGTCAGGAAAACAACCTCCAACCCAGCTCCCAACCTCCCCACCATGGCTGTGCTGCAAAAATCACGTGTCCCTTTCTACTCCCTCCTCATCTCCACCTCACTTCCCTCTTGCTCTTCCTTCTCTTTCTGACGACCCCTCCAGAGAGCAGGGCGATTACTAGATTGATCCATGAGTTGCTTCTTTCTAAAGGTGACTTCTAGTGTTGCATTCTTCTGGGCTATGGAAAAATTTCCTTTCCCTCAGACTTACCACCTTTTCTAAAATAGTGCTTTGGCATCTGTATCTTTCCCTTTATCCCCTTGAGCATTTATGTTCTTTTTCACCTGGCTGATGTCTAAAAATACAGTATGCTTAGTCAGATATTTTATCTTTATGCTCTGAAAAATGCTGTCGAATCAGACACAAAGTGACCTAATATCCCATCTGCCAAAATCACTCACAGAACTGCTCCGAGGGAAGGTCACAGAACAGCTTGGATAATCTTGTTTTAAGTGTTGCATTTATTTCCTGCAGGTTGCTAATTTGGGACTAGCAGTAATTCATTTAACACGTATTTATTGGGGACACAGAACTTACTGCATGCAGAGGAAAGTGCTGTGAGCAAGTTAGATAGGATCCCTGCCTTGGTGAGGATGCAAACACAAGACGTGAATAAATGAAGACAACTTTGCATAATGGTAATCACTGCAGAGGTAGAAAGTAGGATGGCACATTTGAAGGCTGCAGAGCGAGAGTGGTCAGAAAAGCCTTGCTGAGGAGGAGACCTTTGCTTTGTGACCTGGATGGCCAGGAGGAGCCAGCTCTGTGGAAAGGTGGAAATGGAATGTTCTAGGCAAGGAACAGGCAGGTGCAGTAGGAGGGAACAAACTCGGCATGGCTGAGTGGTAGGAGATGAGGTCAGAGAATTGAGGAAGATCTATCATCCAGGCCTGGCAGGAATTTGGATCTATTCCTCTGCACGCAGGGAAGCCACTGGAAGGTTTTCAATAGGAGTGATCTGTGTTTTCACAGAACCACGCTGGCTGCTCTGTGGGAGTGACCAGGCAGGTGCAAGCATGGGAAGCAGGGAAGGAGGCTGGTATAAGGCAAGGGAGGGACAGCTGGCAGAGAAGAAGATGAAGCACTGAGAAGTGATGGCTGTGAGGTGTGTTCTGGGTACAGAATCGACAAGATGTGCTGAAGGATTAGATTATGAGAGAAATAAGGATCAAAGATGAATGCAAGGTTTTGTCTCGTCAGGTAGATGTACAGTGCTGCTATTTGTACAAAGAAGAAGTTAGAAGACAGCCAAGGGTTCAGTTCTTCCAAACCTGTAGCAACTTGAAACACCATGCGTATATTTTAGAATAGTTGCCCTCCATATTCATGGGCTCCATATCCATGAATCAAACCAACCTTGGATTGAGAATATTTGGAAAAAATTGAATACTTGAATAAAGAGAGTGTGTCCACTGAATATGTGCAGATTTTTTCTTATCATTATTCCCTAAAAAATATAGGGATAACTATTTATACAGCATTTACATTATATTAGTTCAAAGTAATCTAGAAGTTTTCAGCATATATAGAAGGATACTTATCGGTTATATGCAAATACCAGGCCGCTTTATAAAAAGGGCTTGAGCATCTGTGAATTTTGGTACTCTCAAGGGGTCCTGAAGCCAGTCCTCCTTAGATACTAAGTGTGTCCTGGCTACTTGAACACAAAATCAAGATGGTCCTTTTTCCACACTTTCTCTGTTATTTCCTCTGTTGGTCTGCCTGCTGATTGACATCACTTTGTCTAATAAAAGCTCCATGAAGCAGGTCAGGAACTAAAGGCTGAGAATAATGTAGGTCAGTTTATCATCTGAGTAGTAACATTTGGATCAGGAAATGATAGTTGTCAATTTAATCTGCAGGTGAAGGCATTCAGAATCCAGCCACAAAAGTGCATGCAGATACTTGATTGCATGGGTTATAAGGAATGGAAAATAATCTTAATGGTAGATTTCCCAGGGGTATTTGTGGAGTTAATATGTTCTCCTTTGTAAATGTGATGCATTTTAGGCGGTAAAGGTCTTATGCCAATTTTCTCGCAGTTACTACTTTGTGACCAGCCACAACTATAGTAAATTAGCTGGAAATACAGCCTGATCCCTGAAGAAATAATGGTGCACCAGTCCAGTTTTAAAAAATATATTTACCCAAGCATTGATCTGTTAGGAAGCTTTTTGACTTTTATATTTTCAAAATCTGCTGATGTGGGCTTCTTAGAAAACTGAGAACAGATGCCCACGGAAGCCCCTGGGTAAGCAGAAACTGAACCACATTGACCCGACGGGTGGCGCCCTGAGTAACGCTACCAATAGCAGTTTCTGACTTCTTGATTGAGAACTCAATTTCTTAAACACACAAGAAAGATATTTAAAATCAAACCAAGCCATCAAGTTAAGTAATGTGGTTTTTTTTGTTTGTGTGTTTTCTTTCAGCTTACAGATATCTCCTCCAATAGGAAACCCAAATGCCTGTATGTATACCTTTTTATACTTGGGCCATTTCATAATGTTTGTGTTGTATGTTTCCTTGTTGCATTTTATGTGTCTGTCAGAGAGATGGATTTGAGAGGCTTAGGTGAAAATTTATTTGCAAGTGTATCTAACTAAAATCTTGATGTGACATTCAAATATGCTAAGTCTGTTAGTATATGGGACCGTGATGAGGCTAGAATCATATTTCACAGTGTTATCTAGTGAACTTTCTCTTATTGAGGTGTAATATGGTCATAATAGCTCCATAGTACTATCAATATAATATATAGTATGCATATGCTACATAGTAGCATAATAGTATAATATGTAATATGTATATATTATGTAGCATAATAGTATAATATGTAGTATAATATGTAGTATGCATATTCTCCTAATATGTAGTATACATTACTTATATAAATTATAAACTTTATAATACCTATGCAGTGGATTTTTCTGAGACCCTGTGACTTAAATAGCCAAGAGACATGGGTTTTGGTTGCATCTTTTCCATGAACCAACTGTGTATATTATGCTGAGGGTAGTGATCATTTAAATTTTTTGTGCCTCATTTTTGTCACTAGTGATGGGACTAATAATATTACCTGGGGATTTAGTGCCCTGTGATCATTTCATGAGGGTCACAGGAACTTTTTGGAGGAGAAATTCCAGTGTTTATGGTTTGTGTTAATGGAAGCATGATTGCCACTGTGGTATGAGAAGTGATTGTAGACAGATAGTTATCATTTTCTAAGAGTTAGAGAAATCTTTCTGATTGCTTATCTTTCCTCCACTCTCACTCAACCTCTGTAGAAGCCGAGGGCATCCACATTCTGTGTATAACTACCCTGATCTCAAGGCCCATTGCCACCCAAAGGGGAGGGGCCACCTGAAGAAAGCCAAGGATGACAGAGCCAGCATGCCACCAGCCAAGTCCACCCACGAACAGGCTGAGTCCTCAAGAGACCTCTGCAGACCACCCAGAAAAGGGGAGCTCCTGGGGCTGGGTCGGAAGGGCAACATCAGGCCCAAAATGGCTAAAAAAAAGCCAACAGCAATTGTGAACATCATCTAAAAGAACAGGTGGATCTGGACTCCTCCAGTTGTTCCAGTGGCCAAGAACTCTGTCCTTTTGGACACAGCCGGTAGTAGGATGTATTGGGAAAGCAGAGGGAATAACGTACAAGCATCTCGATTAACCAGAATTAAACAAAGGAGAATCTCAGTGAACCGCAATTTTATTATCATCCCTTTCCCCTTTAAAAGCAAGAGGCAGATTACAGAAAGAATTTTTAAAAACGAAGCAATATAATCCTAAAGTTTTAGTAAAACAGAACTTTAGCCTTGAAAATAATTGGTCTGGTCTCTAGAAGTCCTGGCTTCTGGGCTCCTGCGCAGAATTGCTCAAGGCCAGGGGCACACAAGAGCATCAGACACTGTGGGGAGTGTCATCTGTGCCCACTGCTGTCTAAATTGTGAGGCAAAGAAAGGACATGTGAGGGTCTGGTAAAAGCAATGAAATAAAAATATTTTTGTTAGTATTTAGCCTTCCCCTCGAATAATTTGAAAGCCTTCAAAATAAGAATTCCTTTCACCCCTAAAAGTTCTGGTTAATCAAGATTTTAATCTATGGGGATGTTTATGGGACTTCAGTCAAAATTCAGTTTTCATTCTGACAGATTGCTTTTCAGTTTGTTTCATTCAGGTTTTTCTGTGTCCTTAAATGCACATTTATTCAGATTTTTGCTCTGTGCTGGCTTCTCTGGCTAAGAATTCTGCACCTTCTAACCATGCTGCCAGCCTTGGTCTTGATGGCTGTTTCCTTGACCCTGGTCTGGGAGGACCATGAAGCTCTTTGATCAACACCCAGCATTGATGCTGCGCTGGAGTGCTTGGAGTGCCAGTAGGTGGCACTGTAGGGTTTTGGTACCATTGAGTAGGCACTGTAGATAGCACCCATCCCTCTCCTATGACCTGTTTTCCTGGTAATGTCTGCAGCTTGCTCTTTGAATGGTGAGCGTGACTTTCTCTTCAGTAGCTTAACTTTTCAACAAGCAGCTCACTTTGTATCTTACTGCTTCTGTGTCCTTTAATGACTGAATATATTTTCCTATCTTTCAACCAACTATCAGGTGTGTTCACTGTACAGTGCATTCTGAAGTAATTTCTGAAACAGTGCATGTAGGATTCAGAATCTGACACTGTCTTCCTTCAAAATGCTTTTGTTTCTATGAAGAAATATCTTTTAAGGATCTCCCACTTTAAAATTTTCTTCTAGAATGAATTTAATGTATTTTTTCATTACATTTAGCAATATCATCAGGTCTCGTGCAGAGTTTATAAGTGTTGACATCCCCCTAGAGACAAGATGATTTTGTCCACAAATATATACATATATATATATAATATACATATATAATATATACAAATATATGTCAAGTATATTAATTATTTTTAAATACTCATGGAGCAAGTATGTGTTTATGGTGGGTGATCTTAAAACTATATGTTTAGTGCTTGCTTTGGCAGCATATATACTAAAAATTAAGTTTGTTTATGTAAATTGAATTCTCTATTTTAAAATTAAAACTAACCTAATTAATATTAGTAGAATTATGATTGTTATTGAAGTAAGCATTATATTAGCAGTACATTAAAATAAATAACAAAGCAGTTACTTAAAATGCCAGTAAATTGAAGTGTAACTTATCATTTTCAAATATTTTGAACTTCTCTTGGTGGAAATGCTGATTTTTGAGTCTTCACTTTGACTTCTGGTTTATTGGAATGGGGTGTTCATGTCATATTTATATGCAGCTATCAAGTGGGTAAAAACATTGCCATGAATATTACGTCACTGTTTAGGCAGATATTGTAAAAGTTGTAATGTTTATTTATTTGAATAATTAATCTCCAAAGATAAATTATTACTGATTCTTATACTATTATTGCATTTTGCCTTTTTCATACTAAAAAAATAATGATTTGGTTATTTGCATGCTCTTTGTCCCATAATGTGTGTGCAAATGACAGCTTGTTTTTAAAGATAGTACGGGTAGATTTTTCTCTTCTATTTTATTTAGAGTAACATTTTTGGTGTTCATTTAACATGCCTAGAGGGCATGTCAGCCCTCTCTGACAGTGGTACCCAGAGATTTTCAAAAAGCACCATAATGTCATAACTATTCCATATACATTACACAAGATCAATAATATTCAAATGTATTGATTATATTAAACATTTTCTTTTTTAAGTTCAAATTAATTTCTTCTCTCCATACAAAGGAATGTGTTATGTAGGTGGCAATTCCTTCAAGTCACATAAGTACTGCTGAAAAAAAAAAGCTGACTCACTTGGAGGGATAATTCACCTACATGCCATGGCCCGAGAGGTGTGGCATGCCCCATGTATATCCTGTTTTAAAATCTTCTTGTTCCATAGGCAGTCAATCATAGAGTTGAGGATGTTGCTATTTTGATGAAATCACCAAAGTTTCTAGGAAAACATGTTTGAGGTTAAACTGAAGAATAGGTCAAATTTTATTATTTGTTAGATAAGGCAGAAATCTTCATTAGGACTGTGCTTTTTTCTTTCCTCTCAAACTAAATAACAGGTTCTTATCTACAAAGTTCAGAGCACTTAGACACTGTTTTGCAGTATTCTGCAGGGTCAATTACTTGTACAAAAGTTGGAATATTCTCTTCCCAAGGTTAAAAAAGGAGTTTTTAGATTATGAAATACTATGACAATAAAGCTATATTTATGACTAATGTGTTGGTATTTTTTTGTCTCATTGAAGTGTTTTGGGGCAGCCAACTATACTGGTCTATTAAGAGTAAACAAAATGTTATTTCATGAATAAGCTTTCCGTTGTATATGCAATCACCATGACCTTGTACACTTATAAATTAACTTGAAAACTTAGCTTGACAATTTTTGTACATCCTGTCTGTATCTGAAAGTTCTTTTTGCATATGTTTATACCAAGACATCCTCATTAAAAGTCCATTTGCAAGTTTTTTCCCCATTTTCCTCCACAGCTATGAGTAACTTTCCTACGCTGTTTTTAAACTTGTCAATTCTTAGTTGAAATTATGAGCAGATTTTACAGCACATGTCCCAGTTTATATCTACTGTCCATCTTAGTACAAAGCTCAGAGAACAATTAGGCTGGGTAACAGGGACATATGTATCACTGGCTGAATCACTCAGCCATTGGTCCTTTCAGAACCATGGAATCACAAAAATTTAGAGTATTCTTTTGTTGAGGAGCTTGTAGAGTTATTGGGACTTAGTCTGTTTTTAACACTTACCTGTGTTATAGTTAATGGGCTCACCAGGTTGTAATTTTTTGAGAAATAGTGTGACATTCCTGATTATCTCTGGGCATGTGAAAACATAAATCTCAGTATCTTGATTCTGCTTAGCCTGCATCCTTGAAAATGTGAATTCCAGAGATAGCGTGTGTGCATGATCCTAAACAGAAGCCTAGAGAAGTTTCAAATATGAAAGGATGGGGAGTTTAAAATTGGGTTCTTTTTGTGAAACTAAGGTAGTAGATTTTTAAACCCATAATCTATACCCATAAAATTGGACACATATGAAATTTTCATTTAACCTATAGCCCTATGATAAATCTGCAGTTATTTCCAGAAAGAAACACATTTTTTTTCTAGTAGAGGAGCCTCCTGTATAGACAGACTGGGTTGTGGTTACCCCACAGGGACACTGATAAATTTTGCAAATGTAGCGATGGATTCCTAGAATGGTTAAATGAAAACTTTTGTCCTCATCCTATGAGGAGATATGAATGCTGTCCTCAAATAATCTGAAGTGTTATCACATGGAAAAATACAAGTTTTGTGTGGCTTCAAAAGACATTGCGAAAGTCATTTAAAAGTGAAGAAGCAGAAATTAAATCATTGCAAAAAGAATTTCTAGGTGCAACATAGAAGAGTTCACCTTGTTAAAAAATAAGTTCCCCATTTCTAATGTAGTGCTGGGATTCCACATTATATATACAAACATTAATGCAATTATTGGTCACATAACAGTGTTGATGTGGCAAGTTTATTTTGGAGATTTTATTTCACTGCTTGGAGCTCTTGTAAAGTTTTCTGTAACACATATCCTCATGTATCCTCCCAGAATCTTTTGGAAGCACACAGAGATGAGGAGGTATAATTTTCTTCTCGAAGCAGGTGGTTGGAGAAATGGGAGCTGTACATCAGGCACTGTTACCTCTGGCATGATGTAGCTCTCAGAGTGGAAGCGTTTCACCACGCTGGTGTGGTCTTAGTGTTTCCACAGGATGTACATACTTGTTATGACATAGTTCCTGAATACAAATCAACCATTTCATCTGGTACTGAGTGGCATCAATAGCAATCATTTCCAACACTGGAGAGAAATTGTCAGTAGTGGATCTAGGGAGAAATGCTGTGTGATATCTCATGTCTGTTCCTGGGACGTTTTCCAGGTAGTTTTGATTATACTTCAATTTTTGCTTTTCTTGTGAAAATGCTAAAAAGGAATGACTATCACATTTTACAGTGAAAGCAGGTTTATGAGGTTTGAAAATTGTTTAAGCTCTGGAGTCTGTGTGAGAACAGGACATTGTCCTTTTGAATCTAATCCAGTGCTCTTTCATAACTTTGATCCTTCTCACTAGTGACAGTTCCAAGGAAATGGTCTTAAATGTATTCATTTATTGATTATACAATTGTTTTTGATGCTTGGAAATTCCATTTAATATTTATTATTAATGCACTTATTTGATACAAACCACTGTGAAGGATATAAATGTGACTAATCTCTAGACCATAGTCACCCCCTCTGGAAGAGCTACGACAACTTGCCTAGCATTTGATCCACAGATCACAACATTAGAGTTGAGTGCACACCGTTTTCGGGCAGTTCACATAGACAGTTTGCTGAATGATGACAGTGGCATTGCATTCACTTTGGGCACATCCTGGAGAGAGAGCTGGGGTTTTGTTGTTGTTGTTGTTATTTGTTGGTTTGTATTATCTCACACTCTTCCACTGGTCCCTAATTTTTTGTACAAGGAGGAAATTCTACTTCCCCGTTCCCAGGAAGGTATTAATTTATTTTTATCCAGAAATGTGTCTGTAACTTGAGACCATAATTTATATTTTTCATGTTATTCTAGAGGAGTGGTGGAGGGACCCAAGATTTGAAGGCAAGGAATAAGCTGCCCTAAATACAAAGAGATTAGAATAGGGCCAGGGTAAGAGGACGCAGTTATTAGAATTGGGGACAACGCCTGTAACTCACGCTGTGTGCTCTCACTCAGGCCTGCCTCTGCTTATCCTCAAATATCACTTCCCCAAGGCAGCTGCAGCATTTTCAGAACACAATGGGTCTTTTCCTTGCAGGAATGATTCCAGGAATCCTTTGATATCAGGTGTGATTACCTAATTCGTACCTGCCCTCTACATTAGTCTGTCATTTACATGAACAATGACCAGGTCTTTTATCCCTTGCATTTCCCCATTACCAGGTAGAGTCCGTTGCTTGGGTCCTCAATAACTACAGAGTACAGAGATCTTCAGTTGCCTCAAGATGCTATGAAAAGCAAAAGTACAATAAGAAATTAGATGTTCTTCAAGCCTGGGAGGATTGCAGAAGAAGCAGTGTTTGAAGAATGAATAGGATTGGAGAGAGCAGAAGAGTGAAGAACACTTTTAGTCAGCAGTTAGCCCAGTCGTGAAAGTGGAAGAAATGGCACGAGTGGTGTCTGAGAAGAAACATTATTTTACCTGGTGTGGCCACTTGTCTGTCTCTAGAGGGTAAGCTACTCAGGTCTGCACCTATCCTGCAGTGTTGTATACTATCGTGAAAGTACTCTATCTATTTTGGTGTCTCTAGCAGCAAGCACTGGTGGTTGTGTAGACACTGAGGAATTCAGTGAGAAATGTCCCAAAGGGTACTGTTGTTCCTGGAACCCAGAAGGGTGTTCAGCTTTCCAGGAAGGGACAAGGATCTCCAGCTCTGCAGAGGGAACGACTGCAAGATATGAAAACAGACAGCTCATTGGAGCACCATCCTCACCAGGGCCCTTCCAGCCAGGACTGGAGAACTCAGGACTGCCTAATCATTCTTTGTCAGTAATTTGAAACTCTCCTTTTAGCCCACATTTATGGCAAGGTGGGAAATACATGGCATTTCCTTCATCTAAATCAATGTAGAGATCACTAATTGGCATTAGTTACCTTTTCCAACTAATATAGACGTTGCTTCAGAATCCTTCCTTGGTTTTAGCCAAGTAAAACCTATTTTTAACAGGGGAACTTTGTTTTGAGCCACCAGTTTTGTAATTATTCATTACAGCAGCCATGGAAAATGCATAGACCTGAATATCTGATGTGGCACTCGGGTTGTTATCTACTTGCCTGCAAGCAGGTGGTCCTGAGTTGGATCCCCAGTACCAAAAAAACAAAACAAAACAAAAACAATGCCATAGCTGAAATATGGAAATCTACATCTTGCTTTACAGCGTCATCAGCCTCATATGACTAAGAATCTAGTTTTCTTATCTAGAAAGGATCGTATCACCTCCAAGTAGGAGCAGTTTTACTTCTTTCCTATTTGAATCTTTTTTTTTTTTCTTGCCTGATTGTTTGTCCTAAAGTTCCGAGTAAAATACTGGAGAGAAGTGATTAGAGAGCTTTCTTACCTTGTTCCTGATTTCAGTTTCTCTCCATTTAGTGTGAGAATTGAAGCGAGTTTATGATACATGGTTTTTATCAGTTTGAGATAAGGTCTTCCTATTTTCTTCTGTACTTATTTATGTTTGTTTTTTTAAGATACATTTTTTTAGATGTACATAATGATAACATTCATCATATGGAATTTGTACCCGTACAAGATACATCTTTCTTTTTTTCCTATTTGTCTCTCTTCTCTTTAACCTCTTTCTCACCCTTATTTACAAAATCTTTGCTTCCATTTTTTTCCTTCTATTCTCATTTTTGTCCCTTTCCCTTGTTCCCCTTCTCATTTTAACATTTTTTCCAATATCTATTACACATTTTGCTCCTTATTTACACTTTTGGTTTCTCACACAAGAAAAACAATGAGATATTTAAACGTGTGTCTGATTTATGTCACTTGAGACTATGGCCTCAAAGTGTATCCATTTAGCTATTAGTGTCTTACGTTTATGTTTGTTTATGGAAGAGTAGTACTCCATTGTATAAAAGTCCAACATCTTTATCCACTCATAAGTTGATGAGCATTTGTGTGTTTTCAAGATTTAGCTATTATAAACTGCATTGCTGTAAACATGGGCGTGCATATGTCGCTTTGGTGTGAAGCTTTTAATTCCCGAAAGTTACCAAGCAAGGGATAGCTGGGTCAAGTGGGACCTGTGGTTTCAGTTTTTTTGAGGAATCACCACACTGATTTCCAAAGTAATTGCACCAGTCTACACGTTTACCAATAATGAAGTGTTCCTTTATCCCCATCCCCCTGACAGTATTTGTTATTGGTTGATTTCTTGATGGTACCTATGCTTTCTGGAATGAGATGGAAAATCCCAGTGTAGTTTTAATTTACATCTCTCAAATGATCAATGATGTTGAACATTTTTTCATATATTTATTTTATGTTTGCACTTCTTCATCCAAGAAGTATATATTCATTTCAAATGCCTATTTTTGGATTGGGTCTTAAATTTGGGGGGGTCTTTTTTGGAGTACTTCACATAATCTAGATATTCATCCTTTTTCTGGTGAATATATAGCAA